ACCTCCGGGGACAGGGACCTCCCAATGTGGCTGATTCCATTGCTCAGCATTTATGTGGGGGTGCCTCGGTCCCTCAGCTAGGTTGATGAAGGACATGAACAGAAGAAATAAATAAATAGATCAACCAAGTGGACATCTGTCTTCTTCTGCTTGTTGGTCTTCATCCTAACAATAATAATAAATAACAATTATTGGGCAGTGTTAATGTTCCAGTTACTGCAATCATTTCTCTGCATTTATTGTATAGCATTTATGTGGGGGTGCCTCGGTCCCTCAGCTAGGTTGATGAAGGACATGAACAGAAGAAATAAATAAATAGATCAACCAAGTGGACATCTGTCTTCTTCTGCTTGTTGGTCTTCATCCTAACAATAATAATAAATAACAATTATTGGGCAGTGTTAATGTTCCAGTTACTGCAATCATTTCTCTGCATTTATTGTATCATTACCGACATGAGAACCCTGAAGTTGGGACAGCTCAGGCAACCTGTTCAAGTTGTGCTACAGTGAGAATCAAGCAGTCTGACTGTGGACTGTGTGACCTTGAGCATGGACTTCTGCTGCCTCAGAAGTCTCAAATGAGAAAGCTTAATGGAGGAGTCTGATTGTTCCATGCTTCCCGTGTGTTGCTCTGGGTTAGAGTGTCTACTGAGTGGGTGGAAGCCCAATTGCTCTCTTCTCCAAGTGTATACTTCCTGAACACCTACCCCCAGTCCTCCCAGACCAGCCCTGAGCAGACTGTGACCATATATCATTCTATTTAGAGCCACATGCTCTTCTGTTCCTTAGCTCCAGCAGCTGGAGGCTTGAGAATGTTCTTGTCAGTGAGAGATAGTAGACCACACAGTGGTTCTTTCCATTGAGGAGATGAGTCTCAGACATAACCTCCTCCTGCCTATGGCTTAAAATAACAAAAATAATAGTGGTTCATATTTTGGTCTCCATACGATGTACCCACTGAGTCATGTGCATATGGCATGGTTTCAGTAAGCACCAGAGCCTCTTGACCTTAGAACCAGTGTGAAAGGCTGGTTCAGGTGAGGATGGCTACCCTGCCTAGGGGAATGGGAGGCTCAGGCTGCTTGGTGGTTAGAGCAGATTTTAGTTCCAGTGACAGCTCTGATGTCCAGGAGCTGTGTGCCCTTAAAACTGTTCCTGCCCTCACTGGGTCTTGGCTACTCATCTGTGAGATGAGAGGAGACGAGACAGTTGTGAGCAAATCAAGTGATTCTTTCTGAGTGCCCAGCGTAGCACCTGGCATAGCACGGGAAGAATGAAGAGATGCCAGCTAGTATGATTAGAGCCCTCAGCATGCTTGTCTGAAGTACAGGTGTTTCTGCAAACGCCAAGCTACCTGCAGGACTGGTCTACTGACATTTGTCTTTTGACCCCTTGCCCTGAGTGGATGAGGTGGCTGGCCAGCCAGAAGGACCCAGCGTGTTTACATGCTAGCTTTCTCTCAGCAGGCAGAATGATTCATTTCCATCACTGTGTTGGTGAGTTTTTCTTCTTCTTTTCAGAAAGGGAATGTTTGGACTGAAGCTGAAGAAGAAGAAGAAAAATAAAGCAGAGAAGGGGTTAATCCTTGCTAACAAGGGTGCACAAGGTAAGGCGTGAGGGCCGGGTGCTGCTTACTCCCTAGGCCTGGGCCTGAGGACCTTAGAGAGGGGACCGTCCTTGTTTGAGAAGGTGGCTTTCTGTGAATTGAAATGAGGGGGGAAATGAGCATCTTTCTGACTCTCTGGGTTTTCTGATCCAGGTTTAGGCCTCAGAAGAATCACTCCAAGGCCTAGGGTGACACCTGCTTGACCATAGAAGGATCCATATGAAGACATAGGGTCAGGTTCAAGGTCCATTTCTGCCCTTATTTTATATAGACAAGTCACTCAGCTGTTCCAAGGTTCTCCTTTTATCACATGGATATGGCGTGGGGGTCCAGACTGTCCCCATACAAGCCTGGGGAGGATCTAGGAGTTCTTCAAAGTAAGAGTGAGATTTTCAAAGCAAGATGGGGGGCTTTTTGTATATTGTCTGATTTAATCCTTTTTTGCCAGTAGAGAGTGTTACTCAAGTTTTACAAACAAAGTGACAGAGATGCAAAAAGAACATACATTAAGACTGATTGCAGAATTGGAAAGGCCTGTGGGAAAACAAAAATGCAAATCCATTGTTAAGAAATTATGATGCTGGAGAAATGGCTCAGTGGTTAAGAGCACTGACTGCTCTTGCAGAGGACCTGGATTCGATTCCCAGCACCCACATGGTGGCTACAAACAGTCCTTAACTCTAGTTCCAGGGCAATCTGAAGCCCTCTTCTGACCTCCGCAGCATTGTACAACATGAGCGCACTCACATACATACAGGCAACACACTCAAACACATAAAATAAAAATAATAAATAAAATTTAAAAAAGAAATGATGAGGAATAGGGTTGGAGAGATGGCTCAGTGGTTAAGAGCATTGATCGCTCTTGCAGAGGACCCAGGTTCTATTCCTAGCACCCACTTGGCAGCTAACAACAGTCTGTAACTCCAGTTCCAGGGTATCCAATGCCTTCTTGTGACCTCTGAGGGCATTGCATGACAGGGGCACACACACACACACACACACACACACACACACGTGTGTGTGTGTTTATATATATACATATATATGCAGGCAATACACTCATACACATAAAATAAAAAATAATAAAATATTTTAAGAAGAAATTATGAGGAATTTCAAAATGGTGATGGTAGTGCGTATATCAACGGTGACAAGGTCTTTCTGAGGAGGAGGCTCTGTCTGGCTGCATAGATGGGGGGAGGGGGGAAGCCTGCCCAAGAGCAGCTGCATTGGGAGGTCAATTCAGGTTATTTCCTTCTCCCAAGGAGTGAAACTTTGCCTCATGGACTATGTCAGCAGTAGTACTGGGTAGACATAGCACTGATGAAATACAACTGGATGAATGGCTTTCCATGAGCACAGGTCTGGGTTGGGACCCTGGATACTTTTGCCAATTGGCTTTGATAACAGCCAGTTCCAGGCTAGCTCTCTGGACAATCCCTAAACCAACATGGTACAGTGGGTATGGTTCATCTTCACCACTTTTGAGATGCTTCCCTGTTATCCACTGCAGCTCCCCTGTAGCCTTATGTCCCACTGAACTCCACTCGTTGCCCTCAGGTAAAACAGTCTTACAGAGAAGGCTGTGGACACTCATTCACACTGAGATGTTTGTAGCAATGACTAAGAGTTACCTTGGATGGAAAGGGAGGTGTATCACATTTTCAGTGGGGATGCAGCTTAAAACTTATTGGAGGGCTAGGGAGATAGTCAGTAAAGTTTTTTGCCACATAAGCACTGGGGCTTGAGTTTGATCCCCAGAACCCACTTGCAAAAACCAGCATTGTGCTGTGCGTTTGTAATCCCAGTACATGGAAAGGCAGAGACAGGCATATCCCTGGGGCTCTCTGGCCAACCCTGTCTCAAAAATCAAGGTGATAAATGACATGCATACATGCACGTGCATGTGGAGGTCAGAGGTGAGGCAATCTGTCTTCCTCAGTCACTCACCACCTTGGTTTTTGAGCAAGTCTCTCACTGACCCCACATACCAACAGCTTACTAAGAGTACTTCTCTATTCAAGTAAACTGATGGTATGGGTGGGGGATGAAAAAGGCTCTAGGTCCTTTCCTGTTGTCACTGGAATTAGATCCTGAGAACATCGGGTTGAATAAGACATGGTCCCTTTCCTCAAGGATCTTATGAAAATTATACATATGACGTATTTAATAAGGCTCTGCCACTGGTTGCTTGACACATATCATTTATGACCCTGAACAGTGGAGTCTGTTGGGACTATTGTACAACAAAGGTTCAGAGGGATGAGTGGCTTACCGTGAGTGAGTCACATAACTAGGAACTGGAGAAGCTGGCAGGAGGCCTGGCTTTCACCCATGGGGTAGCCTCTGGTCGGAATCCTTCACTGACAAGCTGGGAGAGATGAGAGCAGTCAGTCATAGGCACACCAGGGGAGCTGGCCCCTGTGACTAGTTCTAATTAGTATCTTTAGCCCACAAAGCAAACAGGGCAGAGTGGGATGGGCCCCTCCTAGAAAGTAAATGGCATCCATCCTGCTGGGAGGGTCTGGGAGGGACTGGTTCTGTAGGAGGGGGGCAAACACAGGTGACAGCAGAGCCTTTTGGTCTTTTCTTTTGGTCAAGGCCCTTGAGAAGCTAGGGTCTTTGGAGGTGACATGTTTGGAGACTGTCAAAGTCTCTTTTATCATGTGTATTTTGTGGCATTGTTATTATGCCAAAATTGTCATTATCTTAAACCCAGCCATTCATTAGTTACCCAATAGGTGGTTCCAGGGTAACTCCCATGGCCAAACATTCATTCACTTGTTCAATGAATGTTAATGGAATATCTGCTAAGTGTTAGGCCCTGGCTTAGGGTTGATATAGAACATGTGTTTGGGTGGTATGGAGGGAAGAGAGCCTTGGGCAGAACTCTGCCTTCCTGGTCTGTTCCCACCCTTCTCTCCCTGTCCTCTGTCCCAGGAGACTGACTTCCGTGGATATATGACTCAGGTCCCTAAGCCTCAGGCTTCAAATTGGATGTGGCCAATGAGGCCCCAGTAGGAGGCCCGAGGAGGGAGCAGAGGGAACTTGAGGTCCAACTGGCTATATCCTTCAACCAAAAGAAACAGGTTGCTTCTTTTAGGGATACTGACTCAACCTGACCTCCCCTCTTTCCAGGTTCTAGTAAAATCTCAGTCTCCTCTCTGTCTCTGTCTCTGTCTCTGTCTCTTTCTCTCTCTCTCTCTCCCCTCCCTCCCTCCTCTCTCTCTTCTCCCTAACTTAGGAGGATGGGGTAATAACAGAGTGGTTCCCTGGAGCCCAGATAACAACATAAACTTCTATGGTCTCCTTATATCCACATCTTAAAGTTCCTCAAGTCATCTTATTCTGGACGATGCGATCCATTAACTATCAAGGCCCTCACTGAGGTAAATGCATTACAAGTCAAGAAAACTTCTGTGAGGAAAAATGGATAATGGGCTGTGTAGGAGGCTGTTTGGAAGCCTCTACAAATGGGCTCATTGATATAGCGACTGTTAGTATGTCCAGAGGGGGGTTTCTCTGGGACATAACATTCAAAGTAAAACTTTCAAGGTGTGAAGGAGGCCACTAGGGAACAGGCAACAGGGACAGCAGCTCAGGTGAGCCGCTGTGATGAAAAATTCCAAACAGAAAGAGTCGGTTAGGCCAGGAGGACCTGAGAAAGGGCTGTGTGGGCAGAGAACATTGAAGGGTGACACAGAGCCAGGTGGGCAGGAAGAACAGGTGGAAGCCAGATGGAACAGGACATTGACATTGAGTCATGTGTGGACTTCAGATTGTTTTCTAAGTAGGATGGGAAGCCACTGGGAGGTTTTGAGTGAAGTGACATGATATCATTCATTTTTTGAAGATTGCCCTGCATGGTAAGTGCCCATAGAATAGTAACTCAGTGAATAAATGAATGAGTGAATGATACAGAGAAGTTGAAGCCGGTGACTGTCCTACCTTGGGGTCTCTCACCCTCCAGGGTGTAAGTCCCTGGAGGAAGGAGCCTGCAGTGGTCTGTAGCATCTGCATCCATAGCAAAGTTTCTAGCTCCAAAAATTACCTATGGATGTTTGCTGCAAACTTGCATCTGTGCCAGTCAGGCAGAGAGCAAGCATTTATTTTATCTTGTTGCTGCAGGAAGCTCAGCCAGGCACTAGTGTTCCTTCTGCTAGCCCTTTAGTCTGGCTCTGGCTTGAGTTTCCTAACTTAGAGTACAGTAAAAGCAGATCCTTTCTATGCAGCTGTCCTTTCTGGAGCTACTGAGTATCTATTGAGGCCAAGTCTGTGTGTACCAGCTCCTGGGTAGTGGGCCATCTGTCTTCTGTTTCAGGCTTGGCATGGTTGACTGATTAAATCAGAGCCCAAACATGCCAAAGCTGGAGCGTATGTGAGAAATTATTCAATTGATGTATTTGTAGTTGAGTCTCATGTACTTCTGGGAATAGTTGCATAGCTGCCTGAACAGGGTGGTGGTAATGCCCTGTGGCACACTCCCTGTCTCCATTCCTCCAAATGGCCTTAGAAGAGCTCAGACAAATGAACTTTTGGTATACACTGTGTTGTTTTTAGATCTTTTCCCTCCTAAGAACAGGTTCTGCTTTTTCATGTGGAATGTTGTCTAAATGACAAGATTATTTAAATTCCATACATACAATCACATAGATATCCTGGGAGAGGAGAGAGGAATGTGCTAGGTTCCAGTATCCCCTCATAGACATACCCCTGCTGACCTAACTCCCTTTCACCAGGCCCTACATCTTATAGGCTCTGTCGCCTGCCAATTGTGCCATATGTGACCAAGCACATGACCTTTGGGGCACATTTAAGATCTATATTATAATGTGGCCAAGGCCATGGAATTCCCTGGTTTATGGCAGCATCATTTTGATCTCTGCCACCAGGGTCACACTGCTGTCTTTGGTCCTATTTCATGTCTCCCTATGTGCCCTCTTGTAAGGATACATGTTATTACAATTAGAGTCCAACTGATAATACAGCATAATCTCCTTATCTCAAAATCCTTAGTGGCATCTGCAGTAGTCTTTTTTCTCCCACCAAGCAAGGTTCTGCTTTCAGGCTCTAAGTATTAGGCCCTGGGTGGGAGGGAGCATCTTTTCATGACACTTTGCTATTCAAAGCTGGCAGGCACAGACAGGAGTGACCTCACCTGGGATTTTGTTGTGGGAAGTGCAGGATATTGGAGCTTCCCTGACATACTGAATCAGACTGTTCAGTTAAATGCTTTCCAGGTGATTCTTATGCACAGTAAACTTCATTGATGAGGCTCAAAGAGATTCAATAACTTGCCTAGGTTCCATGTGGTAGGTCATGACTTGTAGAATATTTTCACAGATTTATAATGCAGTTTTCTTAGAATATCCATGTAGCTCTGTTCTTTTTTGAGAAATAGATAGAGGATGCAGTTTCAACAGGAAAAAAAACCTAGGGGCTAGGGAGATGGCTAAGTTGGTAGCTGTCTTGCTTACCATGCAAACTTGAAGACCTGAGTTCAGAGGCCCACACCCATGTAAAAATCCAGGCATGCTAGCCTGTGCCTGTGATCCTAGTATAGGGAGTTAGAAACAGAAGAATCCACAGAGCTTGCTGGCCAGCTGGTCTCTCTGAATTGGTGAGTTCAGGTTCAGTGAGAGACCCAATCTTAAGAAATAAGATGGAGATTGATAGATGTGATGTCAACCTCTGGTCTCTATATGCATGTTTACACAAGTGCATACACATATGAACACATAACACATACACCACACATACACACACACAATTAAATTATGTGTCTGTCTGCCTGTCTTTTCTGTCAATTCAATGCTGACTTTGATGGTGGCAGAGACTATCCTCTGGGATCCTTGCACCTCTCTGGTACCTGCCATGGTGGTGGGCACAGAATGGGGGCTTAGTTGCTACCTTACTTTAATTTAATGGGATTCTCTTCCTTCATTTGCTTCTCTAGATGGTCAGAGTGAGTCTGAAGCACCACAGGAAGGACCTTCTGAGCAGGAAGGACCAGGAGGAGATTTGACTTATGACAATGCTTCCATCACTCCTGGACCTTCAGCTCCTCCAAAAAGAAGGTATGGCATTTTTGCAGATAGCCAGCACACTCACTATTAGATGTCAGCTTGTATGTTCCAGGCCATCAGAGAAGACCTGGTCACTGTCTAGCCAAAGGTCTAAGGCAGAAAGAGAGTTGTACATCTCTTTGACTTCTCTCTGAGTGTTGGCTTCTAGATACTGCCAGCCTTCCGCAGACCGGAGTCCTGACCCCCCCCAGCTTCAGGCCTTAAATGTCCCTAGTTTTGCTCCTGGGAGTTCAGTAAGGATTGTAAGCACAGAAAGCAGTCACAGAGATGTCCCTTACCTGCCCCTAATTTGTCATGACCCTACTTAACTTAGTTTCAAGTGTCTCCAAAATGAGAAAATCCAGCAAAAATTCAAAAGGAACTGACTTCTGCATGCTGTATCAGCTAGCTATGGTCATAGAAAAACCCACCCACACCAGTGACTTAATATAAGCTTTTATCACTGTTCTTGGGTCTGTGGGTCAGTTAGGTGGCTTTACTGGTCCCAGATAGTTATCAAATGCATCACTCATGTGTCTGTGGTCACTTGGCAGCCTTAATTAATTTAGTTCGGGTTGGCTATAGTAGGCTGGCCTGGTGTTTCTTTCACTGGGACCACTATACTCCCATCACTTGGCATAATGATTCCAACAGACTAATTTGAGGTTGTTCCAGTGATGACCATGGCAGTGTTGGGGAGCTGAAGCACATGAGATCTCTTGAGACCTATGCTTAGAACTGGCAAAGGTCATTTCTGGTGCACTGAGTGACTAACGCAAATTATAGGGTCAGCCCATGTCAGAATTAGCAGAGACCATAAAGTGCAGGGAAGCAAGAGAATCCAGTCCACTAGTGATTTCTGTCTAGCATGTTTGTTTATATTAATTTCTTACTTATAATAGTTTATCAGGCCCATCCCTTTCTTTTCCATGCAGTTGTTACTATCAGTAAAGAAAATCAGTGTCTCCCCGGGAGGTAGATTCTGAGCTGTTGTTCTAAGCCTTGTGTTTATGGGAGGAGGACAGGAGTGAGAGACAGGTGGAAATCAGGGAAGGTGATAGCACAGAAAGACACTTAAAAGAAGACACAAAACTTTTGTGCACATGCTGTCACATCTCACTCCCCATCCTCTCCCCCCCTCCACTGCATCCTGGTAACTACCATCCCTTCCTTGTGACTTCTGACTAGGAACTTCAATTATTCTTAAATACTCTTCATCTCTGATTTTTTGCTTTACCAGGATGATCAGATTGAAAAGAGACAGGTAGGAGGAAGAGAAATAAGACATGGTAGCCTATTCTTCCTCCTTGGTCAGAGCATTCTCCTGAGGTTACAGTTCTCCTACCAGTGCTCAGCTTGGGTACCACCCCGTTCTTAAACCTTTCTTGCTCACTGAGCCCTTAGGAATTCCACCTACACAGTCCTTCTCCCACAGTTTTCCCCATGGCACATTTCACAGTTATATACTAGTTATTTCCTCATATCCCTTGGTCCTCTTTCTCCCAGATTGTTAGTTCTACAAGGGCAAAGATGATAGTTTATTCATCGTTGTTTTTCCATTAAGTAAGCCTAGCTGTAGGTTTCACATAATGAATAATTGCTGTGAATTTGCCACTTGACTGATGAACATATAAATGATATATACTTTTTCTTATATGCACTATATCCTTTAACCCTCAGCGTTAACTCCTTGTGATGGGAATTATTATTTCAGATATGGAAATTAATGCTAAAATCTAAAACCGAGGAAAATAAATAGTCTAATTCAGAGCAGTCTGACTTGAAAGCTTTGAGGATTTTTTGCTTTTTTTTTTTTTTTTTACTAGTTTTCAGTATTTTCTACTGGTCTGAATTATATTTAGTAGAAAAAGAATAAAGACGTGTACAAGATGTTTCTGTTAGAAATCAGAAGAACAAAATTTGATAGGAACTCATCTCAGTTCATTTCCCACCTGCTGCTGCTTCTGTGGTAACAAGGATCCCCTATCTCTCTCCATGAATACCAAAGCTTGAAGTGCCCAGGTGTTGCATATCTATTTTCAATTACCTGTGACAGTCCAGGTAAATGAAATCCATGGGATTGTGCAATCTCAGTGTGAGAGCATCTTTGTCATTTCTCTAAATTTTCTTCCATACCAATCCTTTCAAAAGCAATCACAAAGTTCAAAATTACTCTATCTCTGAGAAAGGTGACGTGTTCCTGGGTCTAAACCCAATCAGGCAATCAGAAAAGCCTTATTCAACCTCTGAATTTTTGAAGAATCATTATTTCTATACCTATATAAGGTCAAATATGAACAACATGGAAAATCTTACTTATAAAAATGCTAACATTTATTCTGCCTAGGCACTGGGTTAAATTTTTATATGCAATTTCAATTAAATTTTTAATTCTAGCAAGTGCCTTATGGTATAAGTGATCTTATCAGTCTTACTATTAGGATAGGGAAACTGAGTCAAAGAAAAGTTAAGTCATCTGTCTACTTATGTTTATTTCCCCAGAGATGTAGAGGGAATCTGTGATAGAGTGCAAATGAAGGTCCTTAGAAACACTTGGGGAAATGTTATCATGGTGTTGTAGCTAAAGTTATGTTCTTACTTGAGATATATTAATTTGTCCTTATGTCATTTATCTTTTAATTTCTATAAATGAATGTGAAGCTAATATATTAAAATTTCTTTTAATAGGGCAAAACTACTGACTAAGATCCACGATGGGGAGGTCAAATCTCAAAACTATCAAGTAAGTCATTGACTTGTTCTGCTCAACCTCCCCCAGACGCGCCCCCCTCCCCCTGTGAGTGAACAGCAATGCCAAAAATGGTGTGAGCCCTGCTTTGTGTTGTAGATTGCCATAGTCGTCACTGAGGCCCGTCAGCTTGTGGGCGAAAACATTGACCCCGTTGTGACCATTGAGATCGGGGATGAGAAGAAGCAAAGCACGGTGAAGGAAGGAACCAATAGCCCATTCTACAATGAAGTAAGCCGTAGAGCTCACCCGCATCCTCCACGGTTCTTTAGTCAAATATAAAAGCTGAGCCCCATTGCTGCACCTTCCCAGTCTCTCCCTTAGGTTCACAGCCAACTTTATGAACCTCTTTATAAACACAGTCCCATAAAGTTTTGATAATCAGAAAGCAGAACAGAGGCGCAAGGAATCTTCCCGATTTTAATGTCATCACTACATTTTCATAGACCCACTTGCAAATTTTTTAAAAGATTTATTTATTTCTATATTATGTGTGTGTGTCCGCTTATCTGTATTTGAACCATGTGCACGCAGGTGCCCACAGAGCCCAGAAGGCTCCATTGGAGCCTCTGGAACTGGAGTTACAGGTGGTTTTTACTCACCTGGCTTGGGTGCTAGGAACTGAACCTGGGTCGGTGGCAAGAGCAGCAAGTGCTCTTATTTGCTGAACCACCTCTCCGGACCCTTCTTTCTTATTTCTTATAAGCTCTTTGTTCTGAGTCTGCATTCAAACATTGAATGTTGGTTAGTGATAAGATGTATTCTTTTTCATGGTAGTGTCATTGGAAATTTAATTATTGAATCTGAAATAGGCATACTTTGTTGGAAAGGAAAGTTGTGTTTTTCTAAGGTGTATAGAAATTATAAAAGAAGACTCTGCAAAGAGGGAAGTTTCTAAGTAGTCTTTCTAAATATTCTCTTTTTAATATAAAAATATTACTTGGCAAAATAGGGCAAAGCATAGAGTGATATATAGTGAAAACTTCGTTTCCCTCTGAAAGTCTTCCAGAGACATTCCAATCATGTACAGGAATACTGTACCCAAATGGTAGTCTCAGTAACACTGTCCTGGACTGTGTTCATTTTAGAAAACCACGTGCTTTGAGATTAGTGCTTAGCTGGGCATGCAGATCAAACTAACTTTTCCCTCATGGCTGAAGAATTTTCTGTTGCCTTAAAGTACTATAATTTACTAAACCACATAGTCTATCATCCCTAAATGCTAACATTTCCAGCCTTTGGCTACTAATTATAATATACTTATGTGGCATAAGTGGGTAATAGGGCATGGACATTTAAAATTCTGATATCACCAAACTGCCATTGAATGAGATGACCATCTATATATTCTAATAGTACTCAGGAATGCTTGTTTTCTCACAGGCACTTCAGAACACAAACTATCAAAAATGCTACAAACTTAATTACTACCCAGATAGCAATTAAAAAGGAAGGCAGGGACAGCTTAGATAATGACATCAGCTGAAAATCCCCAAATCCCATTTGAGTTATTAATTCCTTTCCTCTTTGTCATTCTGCCCCTGAGCATTTCAATTGTCACTTCCCCCTCCCTCCTCCTCTCTTTCCTTCATCTTTCTGGAAAGGAAGTGGTATGAGAAAATGTGTATCAAAATGTTCTAAAATGAAAAAAAAATTTAAAAAATAATGATTAAAAAACAATAATTAGTAGATGTGAAAAACATTACCATTGAAATCTACCTGATGACTTTATATCCATGCTCAGATGCCTAGAAGCTCAGAAAGTAACCAACTGTGACTAGTAATAATCAGATATTTAGAGATTAGAAATGCATGTGCAAACATCCAATGTCAATTGCATTGAAAAAGAATTTTTCTATATGAAAATGTGTATTTTAATAATGAAATGGAGATCTTTTTAAAGGTTAAAACATCATTTAATTTATGTCTTATAGGGTTTATACTGAGTACAATATTGTATAACTGTAATAATTCAACTGTAAACCTAAAAATTTACAGCCAAATTTGAAAGAGATGCATCCTACCTCAGGAAAACGTTATTGAATATGTCAATTATGATGTAATGATATGCTTCTTCTAAGTATGTTGTTATTAAATAAATCATTTTTAAAAATAAAAAAAATGTTCTAAAATGACAAAGTCCCATCCATTCATATTATAATTATGAATATGCCTTGGCTCTAAATGATGTTGAATTGAGCCCAAGTGTAGTCACTAGGAAACTGAGTAAAAGCACAGAAGGTGAACTCAGGACATTTGTCACAACTTTTTACCATAATTTTCAAGCCTAAAAGTCATCAGATATTGAAGAAAATAGGAAGTAGGGATTGGTGGATATTTGCTAGATAGGTAGAAAAATGTGTGTGGACCCAGAGATCTGGAAGGCACTTGAAACTGCAACACATGAAACTCAGTCAAAGGCAACACACTTGGAACTGATTTATTAGTCCAAAGGGCCTCTCATATAGTCAGCTATGTTAGAGTATAGAATTTCATCTAAGTATTTTTCTATGTAAGTTTTGAACCTCAAATGCTCAAAAAGTTTGAACATATGTACAATGAAACAGGAATATATGTATATTTTCTTGAAAGGTCATACATATTTTCTTAAGCAAAACACACTACATTGATATTTGAGGGTATTTATTTATTCAAATTCATTTATTGTCATTCTGGGGAGTAAATCCAAATGTCAGACTCTAGCATGGAGCCACACCCCCCAACCCCATCACACACCATTTTGAAGATCTTTTATTATAGTACATGTAGTACATGGTTTTGCTATTTTGCCCTTGGAAAGAGCTCTTAGTGGTCATTTTTCCTTTCCCACTGCTATGTCCGTCCATAATATATCATTCTTCCACCTTTCAGCTCAAAGCAAAGCAAAGAATTCAGGGGGGCAACAGTGTCCCAGTCCTTCTCAACCCCCGCCAGTCCTTTTCCACATAACCAGCCACACGTAGACACTGCTCTGGTCCTTCTGCATCTTGGAATCCCCCTACGACCTCATTTGGGAGTTACTTAGCATCTGTTAACTACTGTGTCCTACTTGTCTGGTCTCTTCAGGAGAATCAAGGCTTGGCTCTAAAACTGAGAAATAACTAGTAACGTGAATGTGGGCACCATTTTTAAGCTTTCTAGTCATCAGTCTTCCTACATACAAAATTGGGGGAGTCCATCTAGATATTTCTCCTATTTATTTATTTATTTATTTATTTATTTATTTATCTGTACGGGGTGTGCCCACACCACAGTGCACATATGGGTGGTAGAAGACATCCTGTAGAAGTCATTGCTCTCCTACCATGTGGGTTCCAGGGAAGCACTATTCCCCACTGAGCTATATTGCTAGCCCCTTGATAATTTTTAACTCTGGAATTCACTTTTCCAATATTAGAAATCTCTGACATTTATTGTTTCTTTTTATTCCTTCAATGGTTAATCTTGGCATTTCACAAGAATGTTTGAAACAGATAAAACTCTAAGAAAATTAGAACTTAAAACAAGTTCACTCCAAATTAAAACTATTCCTACACACAATGTTTGCCTATTATGGTAAGTTTAAGAAAATAAGAAGAACTAATAATATCAAGGATTGGCAAGGGTACATCAAAAGCCAGAATGTAAAATGGCTTCTCAGCCCCTTGGGAAAGAAATTTTGCTTCTTTTAAAAATGTATATGCATAGGGGCTGGAGAGATGGCTCAGTGGTTAAGAGCACTGACTGCTCTTACAGAAGACCCGGGTTCGATTCCCAACACCCATATGGCGGCTACAAACCGTTCTTAACTCCGGTTTCAGGGGAATCCGAAGCCCTCTTCTGACCTCCGTGGCATTGCACAACACAGGTGCACTCACATGCATGCAGGCAATACACTCATACACATAAAATAAAAATAAATATTTTTTAAAAATGTATATGCATATAATTCATGATGCAAAATTTTCACTAGTATATATTTTAGAGAAATAAACATAGCCTATGTGAAAATGTGGTTGGTGGGATTCATTTTTTTACTAGTATATAAAAAATTGGAAACAACTTAAATGATCTTCAAGTAGGACAAGTCAACCAAATGACAATATATTGATGCCACTCAGGCCTATGCAATAGTTGGTTAGAAGGATGTAGATCTGAACCCACTCCAGGAACAGGGTTTTTAGATGAAAGCCTGGATATTGATGACCACTATAAGCTTTTTTTTTTTTTTTAACAGTACTTTGTCTTTGACTTCATTGGGCCCCAAGTACATCTTTTTGATAAGATCATCAAAATCTCAGTAAGTATCCTACTAGAGGTGGTGGTCCTTAGGGACGTGGGAGAGACTCTGGCACTGAGGTCTAGCATGCTTAGGGATGCATGGGTCAGGGTAGCAACTATGGATTGGTGACTTTTAAGTCAGCAGGCTGAAATGTGGAATTTCCAGTCTGGGGCCTTTAGGTAGGAAAACCACATCTCAAGAGAATCTGTGCTTCTTGGAAGCAGGCAGTAAACTACAGTGAAGCTTTTGCTAATTGGATGTGGGAATGTGAAGCATATGCTACAAATGACATCTTAATGGACTGTCCTTTTTCAGTTAGTTATTTTTATCAAGTCAATGTTAGTGTTTTTTCTCTTAGGATGATAGCTATACTAATTAACCACAACCCTCTCCTCTCCTACTTAGTGATAAATAGAGAAACAGGATCAGGGAGGACCATATGTTAGTCTTCTCACTGGTAATGCTGGATGAGCAGAGGACATGATTTGAAGAAAGTGGTGGCCCTTGACATTCTTAAAAGTTATCTCTGAGTGTGGATCTCAGGACCTGCCCAGGAGAAATCAGGTCTGCCGAACAAACCCTTCCTCAGCTCTACCAGAGAGGGGAAGTTCTACCCTAGGTCAGGTCTGAAGAGTAGAAACAGAGAGAGTTGCCTAGGTCAGCTGGTAGCCTTAGCCAGTTTGCTCACTACATTTAGAAGTGGGAGGGAAAGTACCCATCTGAAGCCTGGCCCAAAGGAGAGAGAAAGTAGCCAGCTGCAAAGGGACAGAGACCAATAGATGATAGTTGACATCTATCTCATCAGTCTTAGAAATGATCACTTCCCCCATGGAGAGGTGTGAGGCTATGTTTTCCTGAGAGCGGCGGGGTGGAAGTTGAAGATTTAGTGAATGCCATCTTCCACTTGTTTCTCACAGGCAGAACTACTATTTTACATGTTATTGAAAGCAGGTAGAGAATTTGGAAATGTTTTCCTCAATGGTCACACCAACTCTAATGGGAAATTGCAAGACTGAGACTTGTCTTGGAATTTCCTTCCCTGTCCTCCTCTTTGCCTGTTTTTTTTTTTAATCACTCACTCACATAGTAGATAATGTATATATGATATGACCTTTTAACCACAGCTGAGTGTCAAAAAAGTTCTGTGTTAGGGCTTGGGCCCTGGTGGAGTCATGATATTGTCTTTCCCAGGAGCATTTGAAGAATGTGACTCTTGAGGAATGAAAAGTCATAGAGAGCCAAATATTCTTAGCCTTTGAATTTCAGGCATGATGACATGGATGCAGAAGATATTTTGAGACCTGGGATGGTTCCCAGGACTTTGCACCATTACTCCAGTGGCCATCTGATGTAAGACGGGCTCTATATCAGCTCCCAAGGTTACCTATGTTCCAGTGGAGAGCCCCACACCCATATGCATATAGGCAGACTCAGTGGGATATTTAAAAAAGAGGATATGAATTTGGGAGGCAGACCTGTCTGAAGGTCTGAGGAGAGTTGGAGGAAAGAAGCGAGGGTTGGATATGATCAAAATATATACATATATGAAATTCTCAAATAGTAAGTTAAGATATTATTTAAAAGAAGGAATGTGGGGATAAATGACTGACTGTAAGCAGATTTACTTAGGGCAGTTAGGCTACAATATGCCCTGTGTGGTACCATAAACCATCTTCCTTTAACAGTGGCCCAAGGTACCCAGAGCCCCAGAATACTGAGTGTGAGACATCTTGAGGGGCCTGGTAATCTCATATTGGACCTTAGCTTGGCTAGCACTTGGCCACTAGGAAGATACCTTGAGGAGACATCCTGTGTTATTGGAAGATTCATTTGGGGTTCTTGCATTCCTTCTTCCACAGGGATGTGTGGAGGAATTGGAGGGAGCTTGAGACGGGCTTTATGACTTTCTCAGACCTTGGGAAGTCATGTTAACAACCAAAAACAAGCCTAGTAACAGAAGGAGCTCTTTGGTGGGGCCTTAAATAGCTCTTCTACTCAAATGAGACTGTCCTTACTTCTCCTTTATTCTTTAACACTGAGGCCAGGGTTAGAGGAGAAGTAGAGGGCTCTCATTTCTTGAGTCAGATCAATTTACTTTCTTTTACTGCCTCTGCCAGAAAGAACTGCTCAGAAGCTAAAGAGTCTCCTGTTCATCCCTCTTTCAAGCATTCATTAACTCACTGAAAGTTTATCATACATTCCTTATGAATGAGGCCATGTGGTGGGTAAAATCCAGTAGGAAACTGCCCTTTGTCAAGGAAGCCATAGGGTTTTATAGTTAGTAAGAAGCTGAGAGGCACCTAGGCATGAGAATCCCTCTTCTCTTGCTCCATGACATTGGGTTCCTGGGGCTGCATGGCATGGGGCTCTTGGGGCTCAGTGGCAGGGACGTCATTATCTCTGGAATTCCACTTTATTACTGAGAGGTTCTGATTGCTATAAAAACACGTATCCTTATATTGAGCTGAAATCTCATCCTCTTAGTTCAGAACCACACAGGGGTTTCCCACCTTGTTTCCTGAATACAGCATTTCTAGGATGTGGAGGACACTTTGATCACATAGTCACTTTTTGAACACACTTCCTACTTTTCTCTTTTCTGGGTTAAAATTAAACTAACTCCTAGCTTTCCAGCAGCATTTCATACAATGTGACTTCTGGATATAGTACCAGTTCTGTCCCTTCCTCAAGGGCTCCTCGCCAAAATACCAGCCTTACAACATGCTGCTGTAATCAAGTTAGATACCCTGCTGACTTCTAATCAAGACAGATACTTTACTGTATAGCACTAACTCTACTGTACCTCACCAAAACATCTCAAGGCAGCACATGATAAGTTCTCGAGAAAGTTGTAAGCAAAATATTTTTGTGGTTGTGGGAAGATCGAAAAGAGTTGCAGCCTGGGGAGATCAGGGAGGGCTGCTTGGAGCAGATATATTTGCTCTAGGCCCTCAAGGATGGGTCAAGTTTGAGTAGAAGGAGAGACCGAGCAGCACCTTAGTGGAGTTCATTTGATGAAAGAAACTTTTCAGGCAGTTGAGAGTATCCAGTGTTCAACAGTAGAGGAAGAGCTGAAAAGCTGCCGGGGAAAAGGCACAGGTGAGATACTTCTGAAGGCTTCTCATCAGCCTATAGCTTGATGGCCAAACTACACCATGCTCCAGAGGTTAAAGCCAGACGAACGTCAAGGTGTAGAAGTCTCTTTGATGAATCCTGAATCCATTTTGTAGATGTATCCTCAAAGATGAATGAGCTGGACTCACTCCATCTCTCCTAGGTCTTACATCACAAGCTGATAGGAAGCATCCTGATTGGCTCTTTCAGAGTAGATGTGGGGACAGTGTACAACCAGCCTGGTAAGCAAGCTCCACCTCTCGTCTTGCCTTCTTACTCTTCTTTGGTTTACCTCCTGATCTGCAAAACTGAACCTGTCTAGGTGGTTCACTAGATTGAAGGCTTCCCACATGTTGATGGTCAGGTTAGGAGAAAAGTCATAGAGTTGGGTTGGAAGCAAACGAAGAGAGTGTGGTAACCTGGGTCTGCAGGAGGTGATGAGGGAGCCACTGGGCCGTATGACTTATCAAGGTATGTTTACAGGTCATCAGTTCTGCGACAAGTGGGCACTGCTCACAGACCCTGGCGACATCAGAACTGGTACAAAGGGCTACCTGAAGTGTGACATCAGTGTGACCGGGAAAGGTGACATCTTAAAGACCAACCCCAAAACCTTGGATGCTGAGGAGCAAATAGAAAAGTGAGGCAGGCCTATTCAGAGCCACCTAAGAGAAACGACATGTTCTAATAGTGTCTCTCTTCTCCCTTTCTCCACTACTTTCCTTATGGGTTCACGAGCACTATTACATTCACGGCTTGTCCACTGGAGACTCTTCATTTAAGTGACAGAACTTTTCATTTAAAAAAAATTTCTTTTCCTCCTCTAGGAACCTCTTGATCCCTCAAGGTTTTCCATCAGAGAGACCTTGGGCCAGGTTCTATGTGAGATTTTACAGAGCAGAAGGGTTGCCCAAAATGAACTCCAGCATCATGGCAAATGTCACCAAAGCATTTGTGGGTGACAGTAAGGACCTCGTGGATCCCTTTGTGGAGGTGTCCTTCGCTGGGCAGACGGTGAGGAAACCATTGTCACCAATAGGGGCAAGTGTATCCAGTGTTTTTAATGAAATAAAATTATGTTAAAAGTGCCTTAGGAAAAAAAAATCTTGTCATAAGAAGGTAAGGAGGCAGGTGACAGATATGTAGAGGAAGGCTCTCCACTCATGCATCACTGAAGAGAGTGGAATGGGTGGATGGATTACTATTTAGGACCCAGGTAGAAAGACATCCTTCCTCACCTCTGGCTACTTCTTTGAGAAAGTAGCCCAGTTCCTAGGCCCTGTCAAATCACCACATTCTCCTGATCTGTTTTGCGATATGCCAAGTAATCCTTCTATATAAGCCTGGGTATATCTTTCCCTCCTCAAGAGCCACTGGAAGAATCAGGGCCTGGGTTCATGGTCAAAGGTGGATTCTGCATCACTGGACTTTAAAGCTGTGAACAACACATGTTGTCTCTGCCATGAAAATATGTACCTATCTTGTTTGTTCCCTTTAGCAGGGCTGAATACTGGAATATTTCTGACTTGGGTTGAACTTGGACTTGGAGGACATACAGGGCATTACCTCCATTTTATGACAAGGGAACAGATCCAGGCTGTAGCAGTGGTTCACCCAAGGCCATACTTAAGAAACACGAGCTCAGAGTCTAGCTCTGCCCATGGCTTTTTGGGATATGAATGGAACAACTCCTATTCATAACACAGTTGTTCCCTGCCACAACTCCCAACTCTGATCTGTTGAGTTGAACTTTCCAAGGGCAGTGATTTACCTTTGTCCCAGCGCCCCCACATAGCATAATGTTATATTACCACATAATGATAACTGGGTGCAACTTATTCTCATGAGCATCAGGGGGAAGCAAGTCTATTATTTCTGGCAACTCACTTTGTAGCTCCCAGTGATTTGAAGAGTTTTCTTTAGCCATTTCTTTTCACTGCTCATATCCTCCTGGCTGTGTTTTTAGGGGAGAACTTCAGTGCAAAAGAATTGTGCCGATCCTGTGTGGAATGAACAGGTGGTCTTCAAGGAAATGTTCCCTCCCTTGTGCCGGAGGGTGAAAATCCAGGTGTGGGATGAAGGCAGCATGAATGATGTAGCATTGGCAACCCACTTCATTGACCTGAAGAAAATCTCCAATGAGCAGGATGGAGATAAAGGTAGTTTCCTGTGTCCAGCTTAGAGACAGGTCTCAAAACAATTGTTATTCAGCCCTCATCTCTAAAGAGAGGGGATCAGGCAGGTGCTTCTGAGCTCTGTGGCCTGGATTGGTTAGACCAGTGGATGGAATCAGGCTCTGGTCCCAGGTCTTTGATGAGCATTGCTATGTATCTGTGGTGTGTCACTGTTCTCTTAAGAAAAATGAGTTCAGATTAAACCAAAGGTTGGTAAACTAAAATCTACAGGCCAAATCTGGCCTGCTACATGTTTTTGTATAGGTCACATGCTAGGAACATTTTTTTGCATATTTAAATTTTATTTATTATTATTATTTTTAATTAGAAGAAACATTTCATTGCAACAGCATTAACCTATTCAATAACATTTTTCTGAGCTAGGGTACATCTCTTTCAAAATTGGCTATACATTTTTAGGTTTACAGATGAATTATTACGCTTATACAATCTTTTACTCATTATAAAGTCTATAAGACATAAAATTAAATGAGGTTTTAACGTTTAAAAAAGATCTCCACTTCGTTGTTAAAATACACAGTTTCATACAGAAAAATTCATTTTAAGGCAATTGACATTGAGACGTTTCCACATGCATTTCTAATCTCTCTATATATGACTATCACTGGTCACAGTCACTTACTTTCTGAGTTCCTTGGCATCTGAGCATGAATATAAACTCAGCAGATAGACAGCCTTCCTCTCCCACTAGAGCCTCC